CCGAATTGTTGTTCGTTTGAATCCGTTTTAGAACCGTTGCGACCCGATCTTAGAAATGATTCAACCAGACTTTAAAACTATTATATTGTCAACTCTTTCATAGTATTTTCAGCCATCAAAACCAACATAATAGTTAAAATCAAATTTTAGTAAAAGTATACGTTTTCGATTATAGTCGTATATTAAGTTCGATTTTGGTTCCGTAAATTTTATTTTCTCTCTCAATATTTTTAGTAAGCATCAAGAGCAAAGTTAGTAAATTATTTTAAGCCATTTTTTAGCATAAAAACCGAATCAAAGAGGATCCATAACCATCAATAAGAGTGGCATTATTTTACTTAGTCATATGTCACAAAAGTTGAATTTTTATAACCTCTTTGTCCTCTTCCATTGCTAATGTCCGGTTGTTCAACCCTCCCTACTTGCTTTTGTCCTCTATTATCACATGAGAGTCAAACTCTTGCACATATCATGAGATTCCAAGAAAACATCATACCACCAAATCTTAATTTTTTTTTATATACTTCATGATTGTTTCCATCCTTGTTTTATAGTTCTCTTAGTCCTCTATCTCTTCATTTCGTCCCCCATCAGCTAAGTAACAAATATCACAAGCCTTCCACCTCCTAAGACTTATTAAAAGTTATCCAAACTCCTCCCTCAAAGGCTGAAGCCGAGAGCAAGTTCAAGCATAGCCAAGCCGATCACATTTGTTTTTCTTGCGAGTTTTTGAGGGCTTTTAAGAGGTTGGTTTGCTAAACTATTTTAGAACTTGTTATTGATGAGATGATGAGTTTATTGATATATAGTTATGCTATATATATTCAGTTTATAAGTGTACATAAGCATGCTAGAAGTTAATGTTATTCCTAGCTCGCATGATAAAGCATGTTTGTATGATCTCTGTTGTGCCTCTGAAAAGATATTCAAGAACTCGTTTTCTGAAAATATAGTCTTCACATGATATGTAGTTCGTCTTGTTAGCTTCCTTTGGGATTTGAAATTTTTATAATCCAAGATATATCGAGTGAGTTATGATTTTTATAAAACGAGTGAGCAAGCAGTTTTTGAAAACCCGGCAGCATGTACTAATAAATGTTTGTCCTGTTTATGGCATCTTAATGTACTCAAATTAATTTTTAATCTTCATAAAACTTATAGGTCTAATGTTTAGCTTTCAAATGAGGTAGGATGCATGCTGATATGAGGTAGGTAGCATGAACTAGAGTCTAATTACTGAGGTGCTGTTTAAATCATACTTTAGTCTTGGGCAGACTTTATGAATCGAATGTTTTGTGCTAAAACTCATTTATAATGTGATTATTTGCGAAGGTGGTCTTCAGTAAAATTTTATACATTTGAGTTAGCTACCACATGGGTTTTGAATCTCATTAAAAACGTGTTTGTAGCT